TTTAAGCTTGCAAATTCATAACAAAAACCTATGACAAAATATATCCAAAAATTCAAAATGTAATCCTTTGATGCTCCCCGAACTATATTCGATCCATTGCCAATCTGTCAAACATATGAAAAAAAAAATTATAATGTTAAAATGTTAATAATAAAGGTCTTGGTCTAAAAACATTGGTTTCACATTATAGATGAACAAATTGAGAGAAAATTTTCCTACGGCGAATTACAAAATTTCAATATACCAAAATCAAAAAGTAACACATGATTCATCAGTTAAACTTGGCATATATGAACTAATTACAAGCAATATCTCTATAAATTTGTAAATCAGTCACATGTTGTCCAACCAAAACCTAGCTCAAATTATGTCATTATGTCTTAGAATTTGGATAAATTCTAATATGCATTTTAACTATACAATATGGATATAAAATTTAAATCCACACTATGTACTTGTCCCACTCGTGTGTGTCAATGGTGTTACATATATATGATAGTGCATTGTATGTCGCATAATGCAGTTAAATTGTGATGCATATTTATAGCAAACTAAAGTAAACCTTGTGTCACACTAAAGCCAAACTAGGCTTGTCCTAGTTGGCTATATGAATTTTTTTTTCTCACCATTTTGCTATTGCTCAGTTAAATAAAATAAATTCGTATATTTTTTTTACTACTACATCTCGTATCTGTCAATTTATGCATGCCCCTCTCCCTAACATTTTTTATTTATGGTGATCATTCAACTTTTTCTTGCATCTCAACCAACCATTTTAGCCTATTCTTGCAACTTATTTTCAATTTATGTTACTCTAACTTAATCAACCAGCAACAATCAAGAAGAGGGATCAACCAATAACAATCAAGAAGAACAATACATCAACAAATAAAGCAAACTAGCCAACTGAAGAGCATCATAGCAGCAGCTTGTTTTAACAAATATATTAAGTGAAGTGTTTTTAGTGATCTGAAAATTAAATTCTGAAAAGTATACTTACAGAGCAAGCTGTCAATAAAATTCCTCTGATGAACAATCATCTTCATCAACCTGCATGTCTGCCTTATCCTTGTGCATCCTCATAAACTTTTCAATCTCTTCAAACCTTTTGTTTTGCATTTCAATCTTTCTAGCTTGCTCTTGTGTTACCAAGTTCTGGGCTGCAATTTGTTCTTGCTAGACCTCAACTAAATTCTTCAATGACTCTATTTGTTCTTGTAGGCTCGAAACCACCTCAACATGTGCTTGTGTACTAACAGAAGATTTGGATAAGGATAGGTTTCGACCAACTCCGAAGCCCTTTATGTATCCTGATTTACTCGTTCCAAGAACTTCAATTGACAGCTGCTCTTGAGTTAAAGGTATTGCCCCAGGCTCCAAAGACTCTTCACGTCGTTTTTTCAAAGCTTCCTATCAATTTTTAAACAACTTTAACAAATATAACCAATTACATAAATATGTAACTATATTAATTGGCATACTTACATGTAATTCACCACATATTGGAGCTATCCAATCTGCCTTTCTCTTGCTCCAATGGGAATCTTTGTAGAAGTCTACAATGTCAACCTTCGCAGTACCCTGATTCCATCAATTTAAAAGTAAGTATACATAATTAATTTTAACTCAATCACACTTTCAAATATATTAAATGCATCACCTCTCTATACATTGCAGCTTGAAATGACTTAGAGCCCCATTGTATGATTATATGGTAATTTCGATCGACTATTCCTCCATTTTTCAGCCAATTCCTACACAAGTAAATGATTAGTAAAATTAAATTAACTATTCCTCCCTTTTTCGATTGACTATTCCTCCATTTTTCAGCCATTTTAACTGGTTGCAAATAAAGTCTACTTTCTGGTTGCTCAATAGGGACATTCTCTTACAAGCCTAGGTACTCTCTATCATATAACCCGATTGAAAGCCTAGGGAGAGGGAAAGGGACTACATTCAGATATCAGAGACAGAAGAGAGAACAGAGCAACGACCCCAAAAGAGGGTCGCGATCTGCAGCCGATCTGCTGCTGCCCAGCGCTGCTATGCCATTGGCACGGCGGTGCGAGAAAGTAAGAGGAAGAGGGAGAGGAACTACATTCAAAATATTAGAGATAGAGAAGAGAACAGAGCAGCGACCCAAAAAGAGGGTCGCGATCTGCTGCCGCCCAGTGTTGCTGCCGCCGAGCACTGCTGTGCCTTTCGCATTCAGTGGCGCGAAAGAGTAAGAGGGAAAGGGAAAGGGAGGGAGAGAAGAAGAAGAGAAGAAGAACATACCTAATTTGTGTTGTGCCGTTCTGTGCTGTGTGCCGTTTCAGTTGGATGAGAAAATGAGAAGAAGTTAGGTCAATTGCTTGTTTATTCACTTGTCAAAAGTTTTTGGCAATAAAAAATTTAGTAAAAAAAAATACAAATTAATTTGTCTTTAAATTATTTGTCTTTAATAATTTGGTAAAAAATAAAAAAACTTTGTTTATAGAAATAATTGTCTTTATAGAAATTATTTGTCTTTAATAATTTGTCTTTAATAATTGTATTATTTGTCTTTAAAAAATACAAATTATTTCTATAAATTATTTGTCTTTATAGAAATAATTGTCAAATTAATTATTTCTATATTTTTACAAATTTCTATACAAATTATTTCTATATTTTTTTAGACAAATTAATAGATTGGTCCAAATTAATAAATTAATATTTGTATAGAAATATAGAAATAATTGTATAGAAATTATTGTAACAATTAATATTTGTATATTTTCTATATTTTTGGCAAACTTTGTTTATAGAAATAATTGTCTTTATAGAAATAATTTGTCTTTAATAATTTTATTATTTGTCTTTAAAAAATAAAAAGTATTTCTATAAATTATTTGTCTTTACCAAATTGTTTATTCACTTGTCAACAATTTTTGGCAATAAAAAATTTGTAAAGACAAATAATTTATTGGCAACCAAATTAATTTGGTTGCCATAAATATTATTCAGATTTTTAGCAACCAAGTAATGTTTGTCGCCAAACAAATACAATTGGTGACTAAATGTTCCGTCGCTATAAATTAATTTGGTCACTGAAAAGTTTTTCACGCTCTTGCGCAAGAAATTCACTTGGCGCCAAAATCAATAGCGACCAAAATTATAAATTCGTCGCCAAAATTTTATTTTTTAGTGACCATAAATATTCTGTCGCCAATTATGCATCTTTGGCAACTAAATTTTTGTTTGGTTGCTAAAAATTGTCTCCAAAAATGCTTTTTGTTGTAGTGAAAAGACAAAAGTCTATGGTAACTGGAAAATATTGAATCAAATAAATTTACATATTGAAATATGATCTGTTACTTCAGAGAAATTTAACTTTTATTGATATTTTCACTGTCTACAGTGAAAAAAGATCCTACATCAATGATAAAGAATTTAAAGGCAAAAGGAAGGAAAGAAAAGTAGCAAGATCTAGACTTTCAATATCCGAAAGTTATGAAGGTGACTAGAGGTTCGAAGCAAGCTGCAAAGCAAACAGAGCAAACCACCAAAGACAAAGAAGTACTTGATACCGATGAGTACATCTTGCCTTAACCAACAAGCATCAGAAAATCTTGGGTTTTTTCACAAACTCTACCGGTTGCAAAATTGATAAAAGAACATGTAAAAGATATCTTGCAGCACATATCAAATGTGTCTGGACTCGAGTAAGTACAACAAATAAAATAGAAGATAACAAACAACAATTTACTATCTTATATTACATTAACAACTATTAAATCCCTTCTTTGTCATCTTGTAGAGCTTTAATCTGGACAAGTGGGTTGAATCTCATTACTTTTGAAGATATTGGAAACCTAATAAAGGAAAAAGAAATTGCCAACAATGTAAGTCTTTCATCAAAATTTCTCTGTAATGTTCCATCAACCTTTGTAAACCAATGTTACAATTATAAATGATATTTTTTAGGTCATTGATGGTTATGGAGAGATCCTATTTGCTGACCAAAAGAGAAAAGAACAACAACCAACTTCATTTTTGCCACATCCATGAGCTTGATATGTTATTACTCTTTTATTTGATTTTCTTTGGAATTTACTTATTTTTTTCTCTTGTTAAGATACTTCTTAATGCCAGTTGTGTCACTAGTCTAATTTTCTCTAGCTAGTTATGTGCATCTAAAATTTCTCTGTGTGTATATTTCTGAAATTCCTGTCATTTCAACTTTCTCATATCCATTTTTTGATTTTCTCTGGCCGCAGAACTTCATCAAGATGACGGAGAATCAAACTTTTCGAGTCTCATTATTTGACAAGCATATTGAAATCGATGGAGAAACTACAAGTTCCTCTATTTCCCAATAAATACCGGGGGCAATGAGAAGTCAACAGATGTAAATCACTGGACCTTGCTTGTCTTAGACAAACAAGACAATTTATGGAGGTACTACAACTCACTAAGGCCAAGGGGGGATGATGCACAAGACAAATATATCAAACATGCAAAACAATTGGTAACAAGTGTAAATTTCTCTAATCCATGATAATGTTTATATGATAATAATTTTCATTGAATCTCATTAATTTGTGTGTAAATTTCTCTGTTATTTAAAAATTATTTTTTTTACAGCAAGATTATGTGGAGAATTTTCTGAAAGCTTGCCTTGAAAGAGAGGCACAATCACAACCCTCTTTCAAATTGATAGACTCAAAAAACACAAATTATGACTTTCAATATGTCGATAATGCTCCACAACAAGCCAGTGATTCGTAAGTTTCATACAACATCTATAAATAAGATAATCTAATTTGAATGTTTCTTAAAACTAACTATACTTATAATTTGTATGCAGTGTGGATTGTGGCCTCTTTGTATGCTACATAATGAGACAATATACCAACCATGAACCTATCAGCTCGACATTGCCAACACAAGACGTAAGGTTGATGAGTGCAGAAATCATAGAGAGATTTGTGACCGAAGTTGGCTGGTCATGGACAGAATTAGTTAAAATACCACCAAAAGAAGAACCAAAAGTATAATAGTAAAAGGAAGACAATGTCCACAATGTAATTAGGATCAATTTTTTTTTCCCCATACATTGAAGGAAAGATAATGTTTGACATATATGTATATATCTTTTTTTGACTAATGTAAATTTCATAGCTATCAATGGTTAAATATATATATTTTTTTATAATGCATGCTAAGTGGTGATTGTCAACACAATCCACATAAAGAAAATTGTCTGAAGAAATTTCTCTGGTATGAAGTTACCAGAATTTCACAGAGAAATTTAACTCGTATCGTGCTAAGAGGATGTCTATATGATCATGTAATTTGTAATGCATTATGTTGGTACAAAACAATCATCAAATTCAAAAAACACAGTGCACACACTAATTTTCTCTGCTATTGGCAAATTTTTCTAGATGAATTTGACCTCACAAAACACAATGCACAGAGTAATTTTCTCTGCTAGTGGCAAATTTCTCTAGATGAATTTCACCGGTATTATAAACACACTGCCTATAGTATGTTTCAACGAACACAATGCACATAGTAATTTTCTCTACTATTGAAAAATTTCTCTAAATGAATTTGACTGGTATTATAAAGGCACTCCCAAAGTATGTTTCTAAAAACACAATACAAACAGTAATTTTATCTGCTGTTGAAAAATTTCTCTAGATGAATTTGATTAGTATTATATACACATTATCCACAAAGTACATTCCAAAAAACAAGATATACAAAGTAAATTTCTCTGCTACTGGCAAATTTCTCTAGATTAATTTGACTGGTAATATAAACACACTGCCTAAAGTATGTTTCAAAAATACAAGTGCATTGATCCAGAAATTACAGAAAAAATTTCAGAGAAAATACTAAACACAACGCACAACAGACACGTTATTTTTGTAATAAGATCCTCTAACATCCTCAAATGTATTATTCAATCAATAAAATGTATTATCCTCAACTATTTAACAAAGGTTCCTTGCATGTTCTTTTATTATGGCGACCAATACTCTCACATCGACTATACTTCATCACCCTTTTATACTCTCCAGTAGAATAAATTATGTTCTTCTATGGCCTCTCAGCTGGTCTCTTACTCAATGGAGGTAAAATCATAGCATCATCGATGCTAGACACAAGTTTTTCAACAGTTGGATCTGGGCCAATCAAAAACGAGTATTCTTGACGATACATATCAGCATGAAAAAATGGTTTAACAAATGAATTCAAATTCTTTCCAATCCTAAAAATTGCAGCAACAGCATGTTCACATGGATGCTCATTTATTTCCCATTTTCGACATAAACAAGTTCTCAACCCAAGATTAACCTTAACCGAAGGAAAACAATGCACATTAAACACATTGTCAGATGATAAACTCACATTTCATGTCCCCCCATCCATGAAAGCCTTCTTCAACACACTATCCATACGAGGACAGAAAACTTTATTCCATTTACTAAAAAGCAACGTCCTATCAGACCTCATATTCATGATTTGCAACTGTATCATGTCCACCAAATTTGTTATTGGCAAGTGTCGAGCTTCTTGTATTCATGAATTGAATGACTCAGTAACATTTGAATACATTTCACCATAACGTTTCCCTCAAAAT